CCAATGGGATTAGAGCCGCCGCGAGATTTTCAATTTGACACGGAGTGTGTGATGCTAACCTAGAGAGAGACGGGAAGAGACGTTAGGAGCGCGGCTCTTCGTGAAACTGATTTAGTCACATTCCAATGGGCAGCGAGACTCGATCAGTTAACATCAAGAGTAGATCCTTGGGGTAGGAGTCAGTTTATAAACAATCAGGACTTTTCTTCTTCCTCTGTTCTTGTTGTCTAGTTAAATCAGGTTGAAGGGGATATCATGAATCTAATCGATACAGGGCACCAGTACATTATAAAAGTTCCACTCATTTTCTCCTATGGAGAAATTAGAGTCATCAGGGGACAAAATGAACTTGCATATTCACCTTAGTTCAATAATTTTTCCCTTAAATTCTCCCGATTTCTTTTTTGTATACATGGATGACTAATACAAATATTGTGCACCGCGTGGACGACTACAAAATCCCCCTTTTTCGGATTGAAAATGAAAATTCATATCTCCATTTACAATCGTACGCATATACTCAGTATTTTCTCTTGAGACAGATGGAAGGGAGTTTTATGAAATCAGACTTCTCGCTCTTTTACGCTCTACTTGGCTTGCCTCCGCGCTTAAAAACAAAACCAGTCCGCCCCTTCTACTGCCCAAAAGAAAATAATGCTAAAAATATCTGCGCACGATATCCACAAACAGAAGTACAACGAGGTTTACCATGGAGAGAATAAAATGAGGAGGAGTGGGGGAGATGAAAGAGAAGATAGAGGGTGTAGCTATCTATCTTAAGATCTTACCCCCATTCTTATCTCTCCCCTTTACCCTCCCATCTCGCTGTCGCAGCCGCACTGGCCCCGAGTGGCCAGCCCGCTACCACCGGGTGAGTGAACTTTCAACGGTGCGCTAAATATTAATAGGATCACTGCTAGGTGGATTAGGCCTCTGAGTTTTCCCGAACTATTTCCACTTGGTCGTCAGCCATTCTAGAAATTCAAATAGATAGGTTTCACTTCGATTCGCCCTTTCCCCCCGCGGGTCAGGCACTATTAGGCAAATCAACTTTTTCTTCGACCGGGAGCAGAGTCCAAGATTAAATTAATCACTTTCACGGCGTTGGAGATGTTCATTATCACATTTTGTATCATGAATACCGACCCATAGTACTTTGAGGAGTCATAGAGATGCATTTACACCTCCCAATTCACCCATCTGTATCACATTTCAAAATCTCACAAACATTTTCTTTAAAGTACATGACAAAGTATTTGTTCATATATCATACCTTTTTTTCTTCCCTAACCACCGCAAAACAAAATGGAGAAGTCCCATTCAAACTGGTTATCTTCCTAAGCGGAGTCATAAAGCTTTATGCTCCTCCCTAAAGGCAACACAGCCTTTAGTACAATAGTTAGATATCGTTAAGATAGTGCAGTGACCTTTCTCACCACACTTACGGAAAGGTTATCAACACCATTGTAATAATTCATTTTGTTTGAAGTTTTGAATGCCCACGTAAACTCGGTTTTGATAGTTCCTTATTGAAAATCGGGTGTTCGTTAGTTCACTTCTAGAAGAGTGGGGGTGTCGTGGTATAGTGGTCCATTCATTTGACTCTCAGTCCAAGGGTTGAAGGCACAAATCCCAGTCCAGAACTAATGTTCTTTGGCAAGACATTAATCCGCATTTGTCACTCTCCACCAATTGAAGGTGTAAGAGGGTACCCGGCAACAGTTTTTGTAATAATAATGGCAGGGCTCTGAGGAAAAACAACATTTATTCTGACAAGACTTCCCTGGGTAAACAAATTCATCATAATTTGTTTTATTTTTAGAACTGTTATTATTAGTAGTAGTAGTATTATAAGTATTATAAAGGAATGTCCAAGGGACCCTTGCCCCTAGAACTTTAAAGTAGAAACAAGATTTAATATGTGATCTTCCAAAGCATCACATTTCCTAGCAGGTTGTTCCACTTCCTTACAAATCGTTACAGGTTTGTTGAATAATCATTTATCCCGGAAGTTCTTGGTTTTATATCAGTATGTCATTGTATTTCAAATTGTGACAGGCTTTTAATTCAGCACACGATTAATACAAAAATAGCCGATCTGGGGAAGAAAAAAAAAATCTCTTCAATTTTTGTCCTATTATCAATTCGTCTCCAATGTTGAAATTGCGAGAGAAAAAAAAGGAAAAATACCAGACTCGTGTTTCTCGATGTAACCACTTGACTATGCTAATGTTTGTTCTTGTTATTATTACACCTGTTGTAATCATCCACTCTAGATACATATCTGTCAAGTATACTCAGTAGTTGACCTGTGTTAAGTCTGTATTTACACGGGGTCAAGTAGGCAATACTCCACTCTAAACGAGTATTCATAAAGAGTCAATATTGAAACGAAAGTGATAATCGGTGATAGGTGATGTTTGTTCTCAGTTTATACAAACTGACATTGAATCCACAATTCAGCATTTGGCAGTTAAGTTTACCCGTTGCACAAGAGGCGTCCGATTGCGTCAAGACATGCGCTAATCGAATCTGTGAAGGCAATTAGGGATGTACAATTTTTTTTACATTTTGATATGTTATGTAAATTAATGAAGATGTATGATTTCTTTAATGAATGAATGCAATAAAGAATACTACAAAACAAAAAAAAGTTCATCGCAATGAGGGCACTGTATATTTTACAATTTTTTGCGTAAATGTGACGTCACCCTCATGGCGGGTCAAAGGCCACACCAGTCGCTGACGCATTACTTCGTCAGACACATAATTCGTGTGTAACGACTATAATTAGCGCATGACTCAATATATTAAAACGACTGGTACCGACTTCCATAATAATTTACCCAACTGATATCATACATTTTAACCGATTCCACTCGACCTTTAAAGATTGCATGTAAAAATTAATTACTCGTGGGTAAATTAACAAATTCGGTCGTTGCACATCTTGTCATCTCAATCATTTTTAACTCTTTTTCATATATTCTACTTTTATTTTCTATTTAAAAAAGTGCCCTTCTTTATAATAAGTTTATAATATACAGTAATTTAGACGGGAAGAGAAAGAGATTAAAGACATGTAATATAAAAACTTAATTTACTTTTTTTACACTTTATTTTATTTCTTCGAGTCCCCTAGAATATCAGGTTGACAAAAAACAAAAAACAGGAAAAAATACCTTGCACCTTAACCACAAACTGTACTTTCATAACAGGAGTCCAATCATTCAAAATGCAAACGATAAATTGCTTGGAAACATCCACTTACAAAAACTATATGCATTTTTAGTAGTAAGTCATGATTGTAAGGCTTCGGTCAATCAATGTAAGAAGGATAAACCTTGAAAGAAACATACTAATGAACTAAATCATACTTGAAGTTGTATTTGGAACTTCTTTTGGAATTTCTCTTATTCTTAGAACAAGGAAAAGTGTTTTTTTTTTAATCATAACAGCATTTTACTAAAGACATATAGTTAGGCACATGTATATAGGTGCACATGACTGTGTGGGCGTAAGCATTACAGACAAGAAATCGGGCACTAATGTCCCATCGGTAGGTATTAATCTACACTTACTACTCACGACCCAGGCGTAGTAAGTGGGTACTTGGTAGGATTCGTTTATCGAAATGCAAGTACACTGGTAACGGTTGCCAGAGCTGTAAAATCGGAGGTGTGAACTTGTGTCACGGTGCAGTGGTTCATTCACTTGACTCTCAATCCAAGGGTCGAGGTTCGAATCCCAGTCCGGCACTATAATGACCTTTGGCAAGACATTAATCCACTTTTACTACTCTCGACTCAGGTGTGGATGGGCACCAAATATGCCAGAGCGCTACATAATTTGGCTGCCATGTATGATTGCGGTAATAATGTTGAAGCACCAGGAGGGTCACGGCGTGACGGACATTCACGAAAATTAAAAGCTATCACAATTAATAAATTGGGGTATTATTAAGACGTTATAGAATTAAATGAAAATACACATATATCCAAGAAAAACTTATTAATACAAAATATTATCGTTGTTGTTTTTGTTATTACTATTATTATTAGCATAATCATTATTTCTGGTTTTAAAATGCCGTATTTCTTAATACGCTTTGACAGCAAACGCCATCGACATCGGAGCAAAGAGATTTTAGACAACGGCATATTTACTGACATCAAATAATGTATAGCTACATTGGCGAAGATTGACTGGTTTCCTTTCAATGTTAGTCAAGATGAATGACGTTATGGAGATGGTATTCAAGTTCAGAAAAACAGAGTCATGGTAAACAGGAAGTGAAGCTGGGTGTAAAAAAAAACTGTTCAAGACTTTAGAGGTCTTCACTTACAGTCCTATGTGACAGACATCATTCTTTTTTTCCTTCTCCATAGCTGAATCATCTCAACGTATGAATTTGTATAGAGTATACTAAAACTTAAAGTAGTAAAGGTTGTTTTGTCCCCTGAGGAAAATAGATAATGCATGCTATCAGGGAATATGATGGTTTTCGGAAATTACCTCGGGGTATTGAGTACACCAAGGTACAACTTTACTATAAGGATCTAAGTTAGAAGTCTTAAGATGGGGTCCAAGTCAAGAGAGTTCTGGTCTGGAGGAAACCTGCCCAGACTGACGCCAATGATTTATTTTCTTTCTCTTTGAACGCATCTTCTGGACATCATGTCTACTGATTTCAATGAGACCTTATTGTAATTAGCTCCAAGAACGAGTCATTGGGAGAATAGGAAAACATACGAATTCGAAGATCAGCGGATTGAGTGTTTCAATCGCGTTAGCATCCGCTCTTTAAAAAATAGAGGAGGTATTTCGAGTCTTACCCTTCTACTGGTGGTCGTACTCCAACGCCATTAGGCCGATAGAGCTCGCTGAGAAGGGAAAAAACCATGCACCGCACAAAACACTTAGCATCATCAGTATTGGCAGATATGAGTCACGTGACCAAACACTGTGAGACCGTCTGTGATTGGCCAATAGGAACCCAGTGAGAATGAAAGGAAGCCGGTCAAAGAATGGCTCTTGTACTTCTCAAAGCGTGACGTCGTCATATTCACTAAACTTATCTCTATCTCTCTCTCTCTCTCCTCTGTTCGGGATTTTTACCGTCAATTTCTGTCAGGCGGTGGTATGTATAAACGCTGAGAGCTTCGGGCATCAGACTTGACCGGTACTCGCCGCTTGGCCAGCACAAACCCGATTTTCCTCTCCGACTGTCCGCTAATATTAATACCTGACTTAATCCGAATATGTGCGCTTAACGAGTAATCTCATAACGTCTATTGAACATCGCTTAATTATCGTCAGATTATCCTATCATACTTGCCGTTCATTGGCATTTTGTTTAGGAACGTCGCTGGAACATTTCTGCACTTCTTGTCTACTTTTGATTTAAGTAAGACTTGCTTTGTAATTGGACACGCATATCTCTTAATAAGAACATCTCCTAAACTTCTAACTTCAACCAAAAATCAACATAGTGAGATATCTAGAGAGTGAAATATTGTGAATAACAGCCCTAGAAGAGCATTCTAAACTAAATTTTTTCACCACTTCGAGAATCAGTACTGATACATTTTAACGAAGATAAATTCTATCTTCCTATGATCTCTAATTGAATCGGTGACGGTAGAGCAGCTTTGGGACCCGACATTGACAGAGTGTTCTCATCACGGAATCTTATCCTATCTTTCAGTTCGTGAGGCGGTTCGACCCTACCTCCGCCAAGCTGGATCATTCTGCCTTGACAGGAGGTCCCCGGACCTTCCCGGTAGCGAGCATGGCTTACACCATTCCGCCCGTACCGCCCCAACATCACCACCACCTTCAGAACAAGATGAACGCACTCGGCTCTCCGTACTCCGTCAACGGGCGATCGCTGGCGTCGCCGAACGTTGAGCTCATGCATCCCGCTATGTCATATACAAGTAAGTCATACTCTCTTAATTTGTTCCTTCTGGGAATTTTGTATCCCCCCTTCCCAAATATAGACTAAATGTCTACTCTTATTATAAATATCATAGGATTTACACGACAGTAAAGTTTACTTTTAATTTTACTACTAGTACGAAGAGCGCAAGCACAATTGGCATATATAGGCCTATCATCTTTCAATTTCTTTTACAAAATTACACATCGCTTATGTACAAGAATCATTATTTCGACTATATGAATACTTAAAATCAGAAATATTTGAACAAGTGAACTAGATTAAATTATTTATAAAATTATATATTCAGTAATGAAGCGATAACATTTACGTATCATGCGGGTATTGGAACCAAACAAAATGCACTGCGGTTAGTTCATGTTATGGTATTTATGAATCGTTTAAGATTTCAACGAGATAATGTTTATCTAGATTAAATATCTGCATATATGAAAAAACATATATCTATATCTGCATTGAGAATTATCCTATGTGAAATAGTTGTGGAAGTGTTGGCAAGAGTGACGATAAAACTAAAGTAGTGTCAATGACAGCGGCACCTCTGTAGTGAAATAACTCTTAGGGAGTAAGTATGTATTCATGGTATATTACTAATTAAATAATTAACGGTATTATTGCATTGTGTCACCCTGCTACATTGGAATAAGACCATTGATAAGTTATATGACAGGTACATGGTGTTCCGTGAGGATAGTACAACGACGATAATTATAATAATTACCATTGGAAAGTTAGGAACTTTCCATTACTAATCATGTCTGGACATTTTTTTTAAAATTAACTAGAGTTTTTCCAAACGCAATCAGACACGAATAATCTGTTTAAATGATTTTTAATTCAGTTCAATTTTGAATTCAATGGTTCAGCATACATATTGCCATTCGTTTTTTTAAAACAATTTTTAGAGCAGTTAAAAGATATTTACAGGAAAATGAGATTAATTTTAAAGCATAGTGGAATCATACATGGAAGAAGGTGCACTCTCACAAATAAAAGAAAAACATTGGACAAAATATACCTATTAATAAAAATGGAGCATGCATGTATGTTTGATAATATTATAACCATTATTGGGTATATACTAGCCAATTTCGGGTACATCTTACCCAATATAACCAAGAAACATGCACGTACTATTTTAATCCAACTCTTTCTATAGTGTGTAAAAAGCCTGTGAAGCGAGGTTCCCGTGTAGGGTATATCCTGAAGGTTAACAATTGATTTTAAAATGTATCTGATAAACATATAGTCAATAAAATAGATGATCGTGAATTAGGGCAGTTCCCACAATTTTGTTTGTGATGAAGATCTACATCGGTATCTACAAGAAGCAATGCACTGCTGTGTACATATAGCATCTTGTGTTGATTCAAATCATTAACATTAAGACGCTTAAAGTCTGTAAGGTGTATAGAAGGACATCTAGTTCGGCGGAGCACGCTATAAACTCCTCCACGAATTGCGGTAGATCTTTGGGAGATTTTAAGTGATCGAACTACTAGATTAGTGATAGAAATTATCTATGAGTTTAATCCAATGGGCGTAGTATCGATGAGATATTGATACTATGTTGTCTAATTGATGTTTGTCGATGAGCATCTTACATTTTGAAGAAACCGCTTAAAATAGCCCGATCTGAATATATTCTGGCAAAATACCTCACAATTATATTTATAAGAAAATGTGTTAATGCTACTACATTCCAACTTGATAAGTCATATTTGTTTAATAGATAGTACAATTGCTTAAGATCAGTGGCAGACATACATATTTAAACTTAGTGTAAAATTTAGTTTTTCTTTTCTTCTTATCGTCAGGAGTAGGATTTCTATGAGTATTTTCTTAAAATTAAAAATCTTAGAATCCATTTAAAGTCTAACGTAGATGGTGGTTAAAAGAGGCAACATTACAAATTATTCTAATGTTTTGTTCATCCTTAAAATATAATTTTGTATGTTGTTAAATCATTATTGTTGTCTTTATTCTTGCTAGTTCCTGTATGCCTGTAGCTTAGAATCTTTAATCATAAAAATAAGTCAAAAATAGATTTGGAAGAAATAAAGTATTTGAAGCTCTAATTTCATTTCGGAAACAATGAATATTAAATCAAGGTGTTAAATTTATTTTCCTCCTATTTACATCAACCCTTAGACAAGAAATTGACGCTAATTAAACTTACTGCCCTCTTATTATGCTTATTTGAAATTTCCATAATCTCCGTTCGTTAATTTGCTTCCGCGTTATATATTTCATAGTGGAAATAATTAATCTACATATTTTACAGTTGTTCCTCGTCTTAATTTCATTGGTTTTGCTATCTCATCTCATGGTTTTGATAGTCAAGACTTTAAATTAACTTATTAATCTAGTTGTTAAAAATATAAGCTTTTTTAACGAGTGATCGGATGCAGTCATCACAAGGCAACGTAAACATAGGTATAAATGCCAGCAAACGCTATGGGCGAGTGAAGCAGTTTGCTAATATCTTTGGTATGATTTCTTATCATTATTTTTACATCAGTGAATGTGTGTCAATATAATCACTGTTTCCTTATGATAAACGTTAATAAGATTATTATGGAACAAACGAGTTCAGTTTTAATTCTTGTACCTTTGATTTAACTGCTATGTGATTTTTACTATAAGTACTACTACTACTACTACTATTAGTAGTACTATACTACTACTTCTGCTACTACTACTACTACTACTACTACCTCTGCTACCACTACTTCTACTACTATACTAATAGTACTATACTACTACAACTACTTCTTCTAATACATGTACTACTTATACGACAACTGTATATTACATTTGTCTGACTTATGATTTATTTTTTGTTGATGGTCAATATCTAAAAAAAAGCTTCATGAAATTGTGTTATAAATTACTATAAACACAATCGCAGTGATCTTTTTAAAGACGGCAATCAAAGCTATTACTAATTCAATCAATTTATATTTATTGGAATGCCACCTGGAGCTAAACTTGTTTTCTGGTACTAATGCTAAGTCCTGGATAAGGGCCATTGTTTCCGTAAACATTCTCTCACATCATCACGAAAGAATACAGGGGCAATGGCATCAGTGCTTGGTCCTGTCTCTTGTTCTCTCTATACCTTATACCATCTTCAAGAAGAATAGTAATCGCCCACATGCATGCATTCTTTTGTTCCTCTTTAAATTATAGTCCAGGGCCATACCGTCCCATTACGGAACACCCCATCGTTAAAAACTCGACAAACAGAAGAAAAAATCGATTTGTTCGGGGCCAAATATATAGAACGGTGGGTTTGAGGTTGGGGTCCAGGGGACAGAAGGGAAGGTATTGTGACGAGTGAGGTAAAGAATAACTCTTAAACCAGGATGGTCGAGTACTAATCAACCAACGCCATACCGTGACATAAGCCATCTCTGCACCCCTATTCACCAAATATCGATCCACATTGCCTTCTTCACCACCCCTTTCACCCGCAGTGCACCATGTGGAGTCACAAAAGATCCTTTGCAATCTCTTAAAATGAAAGTTATCTGTACCTCCCTCATGAATCTCGTAGCTTTGTTGAAGTGTAGCTGTGTCCTTTGGCCGCAGTTGGAAATATCGTGGAGCATCGATCTGATAGGAGCAATTATTTTAACAACACGACTCCCACTGTAATAGAGGAGAAGAGTAGTGTCCTGCAATCGAAGTCAAATAACATTTATTGTTCGTATTAAAAATGTAAATCAACAACCCCCTGACAAACAAACATGCGTTCAAATTAATTCAACAAGACCGTTGATATTCGAATCTTTTTAAGTATTTGTTTTAAATGACTCAAGAGAATCTTTATTTTAAAAGAAAATCAACGTCAGAGCTTGATAAGTTACAATAGCTGGGGAAACCATTACCTTTGACGGAAAAAAGCCATATTTACAAATAATCATGAACGATGAAGAGCAAAGTTTAGTAAATATTAGCCGAAAGATATTAGATCAGTGGGAAATTGTCATGATAATTTTTTTTAAAATATTCATTCAACTTTATACATATTTTAAATAAATGGAAATTAGCTTGTGACCTGCTTGAAACATAAATATATAGCCATACGTCAGTTGGTGCTTCATCAGTAAATGCGACTCAATTACGTATCACTAATATTACCTTACTAATTAATTTTATTGAAACGCCATTTTCTTTTCAGTATTCATGCTATAATTCGATGAATTATTCCAATCGGTCCAATGCCTGTGACATACAAAATGATACAATTTTTAAGCTTACTTAAGAATAAGTTCGTGAAAATCTCAAATTGCTTTTGAAAGAAGATTAACGGGAAGTTAATTTCCAAAGCTTCATGCAGTTTATATCTTACACTTTATAATTTATAATCAGAATAAGTTTCTTGATGAGAGATGTTTTACCGATAAAAAGTGAGTTGATTCTTTCAAGATATAATCCGGAGTATCGTATCAGCAAAGCAACTCTAATTACACTTCAAACGGAAATTTAAATCAATGTTTATATACAGTGTAAACGTATGGGAAATGGATTAATCCATACATGTGTCAAAGATTTTCGATGTTTTTCAAGTTCACGTGTCATCACGAAGTTAAAAAAGAAAATATCCATAAAGACGGGAGCGATCAAAATTTAAATGTTTGTTCCAATGACCTATATCAAAGAAGTGATGTTGAGATAAAATATTTGACATCGATAACAGTACTGTTAGTAGAATACACTCTTTATTTAGGTCTTCTGCATTTACAATGACATTCTTATGACGAAATTGACTGAGAACCTTTACATAATGTCTTAAGAAAAACGAAACTTGTCTAGATTTCAAACGGGTCAATAGGAAGAAAAAAGGGTCATGACTATTTTCAGCAATTAATTATTTTGACTTCATTTCTCTCTGAATATAAAAGAATGAGTTCTTATGAGTCATAGTGTCATTATTTTGATTTGGTGAAGTATTTAGGATACACGTATTTG